TGTCCTCGGTTCGACTCGGCACACGCCGCAAGGGGCCGACTCTGCCTTTAGACTCGCAGAAGAGGCCTCTTCAGGCGGTCCCCATGGGCACAGCCCCGGCCCTGCTCTTCCCCGCCACGGCTCGCCTCTCCCCGTGCGGCCGTGGCCTCAGGGACGGGGTCCAGCTGCGGCCACCGAGCTGGACGAGGCAGGCGGCGGGTCGAAGCCCCCTCGCCTCCATGACTTGCTTTGGCTCCCAGGCCCCAGTGAGGAAGAGCGACCCCCACAGTCTGAGGAGCGCGGCAGCATAAACACCCGACACGAGAAACCTGCTCCTCCGAACAATTTGGTCATCCTCGGGTCGAGGAATTAACTCCCCTGCTGCGCGGGCAGCCGCACAAAGGGCCGGCTTGCCCGACAAAAACTGAGCCGCGGCCCCGGCGCCCCCGGCGCCCCTCATCCGACCCTGCGACACAGGTCAGGTATTCCTGGCGCTTGGTTTTGGCCGCAGGCCCGCCCGCCGGCCCCTCCACTGTTGCTGATGGCTTCAGCGCACCGTTGGGTCTTCGGTGTGTCCTGGGAATGGATGTCTGAAGGGGGGTCTTCAGCGGGCCCCTCTTCCCTCTGTGCTGGTCAGAGCCCCTCTACCCACCATGGCGGAAGGAAGCCTCCAACCCCCGAGGGACCCCAGCCCCACCCAGGACGTGTCTCCAAGCGGAGCTTGTCCCTCTGGGTTCTCCTGTCTGCTCAGCCATCCAGGGGACCAGTGTCCCGTGTGCCCCCCGCTCCTCTCTGCCAACCGCTGAGAGATGTCAAGGGGCGGCCCTGGCCGCGGTCCAGAGGCCAGACCAGGGCTGTGGGCCCTCCAGAAAGGTCAGCACAGAGGACAAAATGAGCCAGGCAGCCCGTCTTGGCTGAGCGCTACCCCAACACTGAGCGGTCAGGGTGAGGGGCCCCTGGGTCTGGATGCTGCAGCAGCAACCCAGGGGGCTTTGGAAAGAGCCCCCTGGGGCCCTTGAGAGAGACCCCAGAATAAAGCAGGGCGGGCAGGCAGGTTGAAGAACAAGACCCAACCCAACAAGGAGCCGCTTGTGGAAGATGCAATTCTGCTCCTTTGGGGAGAGCGGCTGGCTATTGGCTTGATATTTTTATGCATGAGGGGGGCGCTTAGCAAAAAGAGGGATTAGCAAATTTACAAACTTCGTCATCGGTGTGTCTGCAGTGACGCCAATCTTAGGTTTAAAAGATGCAAATTATCCCATCAGTCACGTGTCCCCTGGTTGGTGCCAGAAGACATAGATATTCTCCATCTAGAAATTTCTGTAGGACTCAGCCTTGCTCCCCTTCCTGCCACGAGAAATACGGCCCAGGTGTGCATGGGGGAGAGATGCCCTGTGATTCGTCGTTTTGCTCTCAGTCTGATCTGAGTAGGGGGCACACAGGTCCCTGGCCGTCTCCCAGTCAACCTGCTGACAAGGAAGGCCTGACTCACACCTGGGAGCGATGCCTGCGGAGGGCCCCCCCCATGTTCCCACCTCCCTCTCAGAAAGCACCCTGTGTCACCACACAGTGGCCTCACATCTCGTGGGAGAGCTCAGGGCCTCAGACTGTCCAGCGAGGGGACCCTGTCACAGTGCACACACACGGAGCTGGACGGTGTCCTCACATCTACTCAAACGAGTCCCTGGGGCCGCTGGCTCGCCGTCCGCATCCACAAAACGTGTTTCCTGCTCCTAGCACCCACGTATTGGTGTCTCTATTTCTTCTCCGTTTTAAAAATAAAGGACGGTCAAGCCGCACAGTCACGCAGCGAATGCCCACCCACTACCGTGGCAGGATGGCAGAGCTGGGGAGCTGACCCCCGGGGCAGTGGCCGGCCCGCGCGTGCCTGTCACCCATGGCCCAGAAGGGGGGCTCCCTGTGCAGGGCGGCCTTCATCTCTGCCTGACCCGCACCCTTCTTTTGGTCACAGGTCCCCAGGTTCTTTTAGGGGAGCCTGAGGGATTCTGGTGGGTGGCCCCCACCCCCTCGAGCGCTCCCGTGACCCGGGGACCCTCCCGAACTCTTAGAATGAGTTCCTTCCCGCCTCCCTCTCTCTCTCTCTCTCTCTCTCTCTCTCTCTCGGGACCTGCAGCTGCTGTCCTGGTTGGAGGCATGAGCCCGGAGCTGCCGGGGGCCACCTTTGCCCCCACCTGGGGAGATCCTGCCCCGGAAGGAAGCCAGCCCAGAGGAAAGGGGCTATGAGACTTCTGATCACATGAGGTTCTGGGTCCAGCCTGAGTGTCAGACCTCTCGGCCACGAGCCGCTAACGTCCCTTCCCTGGCCAACCCTGGCCAGTCTGGCCCCGAGGCAGCCCTGCAGCCCAGCCTCCGTGCCCACTTCTCCCGGAGACCGCCCTGGCTCCCTCCCGCAGCAGCGTCCACCCATGGGTGAGGGTCTCTGCCCGGCAATGAGGGGAAGCAGAGCGCGCAGACACACCCGTGGAGTGAGTCGCAGGGTAAGCCCGGGGAGGAAGGTGCCGAGCACAGCCGGCCACATGCGGAGGTTTCCCTGAAATTTCTGGAGGACACTGGTCGAATCTATGGTGACAGAAGGTAGATCGGGGGAAGTGGAGACAGGACCCCCAGGCTTCAGGGGCTGCCACGGAGTCCCACAGAGCCTGCAGAGCACGGGGTTGCAGAGCGGCCCTGGGGCCAGGGAAGGGAACGTGGGCTGGGGGCTTCCCTGGAAGAGGGGGGCCGAGTCCTCCTCTCGTGGGGTTACCAGGGAGAGCCCACAAACCCTGGCTTGACCACCTCACTCTCAGCCTCGCCCCCGCTCACCACCCCCCCCAGGTGCCAGGTCCTCCCACGCACGTCCCCCGAGCATCGTCTGTCCTCCCCTCGGCCTCCCCCTGTCCACCCCAGCCCACACTAGGCTGCCTCCCCCGACTGTGATAGCGCATCGGGTCTGTGAGCTGGGGGTGGGGGGCAACGTGCGTGTCTGTGCACGTGCACGCGTGTGCACATTGCATGCGTGCACCCCGGCCTGTATGTGCGTGTCCCTGTGCGTGCACTTATTGGTGGGGGGCCGGGCCGAACCAGGCCAGCAGCGGGCAAGCAGAAGCACGCGGGGCCCCAGCCGCACGGACTGTGAGTGCTGCTGCCATGCTCTCATCTCTCACGGCAGGGGCGCCTCCCAGGAGGTGCGGGGCAGGGCGTGAGGACGACGGACCCGGCTGCACCCCGAACACACGCACCGCCTTCACCAGGCGGCCACACGAGCTCTTCAGAGGCTGTGGAAATGGCAGGGGGAGCTTCCCCACCTCGCAGCCCGGCCTCCCCCACCCACACACGCCAACAGCGTCCCCAGGGCCGAGGACAAGCCACCTTGCTCACCGTCACTCACTGTCCGCGCACTGGGAGACCATCTGAATACTGTCCAAGAAAGTATTTCTTTCAAAGGAATATTTTCTTTTCTTTACTAAAATGTAATGGGCGTCTCAGGGCACCTTAGAGGAAAGAACTGTCCAGGGCAAGAGCCGGGACTGGGATTCCCATCCAAAAGCTCCAGGCCCTCGACCACTGAGCCAAGACACTTCCCGCAGCTCAGACGGCCGCCAGAACCCCTGGAAGCCGATGTGGAGGAAGCGGGGGCTCGGGGCGGCCGCGGGGCAGGACGCGGTCTCTTTCTGTCTGAGCTCCAGAGCCACGATTAAAAAGGACCCTGGGGGGCGCCTGGGTGGCTCAGTTGGTTAAGCGACTGCCTTCGGCTCAGGTCATGATCCTGGAGTCCCGGGATCGAGTCCCGCATCGGGCTCCCTGCTCGGCAGGGAGTCTGCTTCTCCCTCTGACCCTCCCCTCTCTCCTGTGCTCTCTCTCATTCTCTCTCTCAAATAAATAAATAAAATCTTTAAGAAAAAAAAAAAAAAGGACCCTGGGTTGAGGTTGTAGGGTGCACGACCTTCTCAGGGTGGGTGTCACTGCTGGGGGCCCAGCCTCTGACGCAGGTCATTTTCCCTTCTTCAAGAGCTTTCTGGGCTCACAGGTTCTACTCAGAAGGCTGAGTTCCCGATTGGCCCCATCCCTGACACAGACCCCGGGACCATGATGAGCAAACAGAGTAAGGCTGGAAGTTTGGCCCCTAGGACGAACCCATGTCCCCCCGCCCTGCCCCACTTCCTAGGCCCCGGGGGTGGCCTTTGCCTGGGGCCTGGTTCCTAGTGGATACCTGCTCCAGAAATTGGCCCCAGCTTGTGGGCACATCCAGCCTAAAGCCATGCAGGTTGCCTCGGGGCAGGGGTGATGAGACAGCCCCCCTGTGGACCTCTGGACCCAGACCCCAGCCAGGGCTCAGGACAGAGGCTCTCTACACCACGGAGAACAGGGGGCGCACCCCTGGCTGCTTGGGCTCAGGCCCAGGCTCTGCCCTTCCACCGGCCACTGGGCGCCCTCTTATCTGCTCATCTGCCGGGGGACAGGGCCTCTTTGTGTCCCCCTCACCCGCTCTGTGAAAGCTGGAGCTGGGCCTCGGTGGGTGAGGGGCTTCCCCGGGGGCCTCCCGCTGTGGTTGGGCGCGGCCGCCGGCTGAGCACCTGGACGTCAGGGAGGCCGAGGGGAGCGCCTGTGGTCACACGGCTGTCCCAGCTGGCTGGGCTTGGGGTGGGCATGTGGGGCTGTGGGTCCTGGGCCAGCCTCTTCCACATGGGGGTCCTTGTCCGGGCTGAGCTTGGGCCACCAGGGCAGTCACCACCTGGGGTCCTGCCCACGGTCTCCAGCTGTGCTGAGCATTCAGCTTCGTGGGAGCCTGTCTTGCCTTGGGAGAGGCTTTAAGGCTTTTGTTCATTCACCAGGTGTCTACTAACAGCAAGGACCAGGAGCAGAACAGGGGCCTCTCAGGCTTTCTAGTCCTTTCCGCGTACACTATGCCGAGCAGGTGTCTTTGCTGATCCTTTCTACATGCAGCGCAGCCGGGGGAGGGTGCCGAGCCGGGGCCCCAGGGCCAGATCCCACATGGTTGCATTTATACTAGGAGCTGGGAATGGCTTTTTATCTTTTAATGATCGAGGGGGAGAAAACCCAAAGGAAGAATCTTATTTCATGATGACTAAAAATTATATGGGACTCAGGTTCTGGGGTTCACAGCCTCCGGAGCCCCCCGAAGCCCACTTGTTCATGTCCCGCCGGTGGCGGCTCCCTGGGGCCGCCCGGCCCTCTGCCGGCCCCTGTAAGGGTCACCTGCTGCCCGCCCGGCGCCGTCAGGCCCGGCCTGGGGTCCTGTCATCTGCCCTGCGGCGTCTGTGTGGTCAGTGGGGGGTGGGGGCAGGAACCAGCAGCACTCCCGCTCCAGGGGGTCCGCAGCTGATGGCCATGGTGGTCCACGTGCAGGTGGACATGGGGGCCAGTCTCATGTTGGGTCACCCTTTCAATGGGGGGGAGAGCCGAGGCCAGGACCTGGGGGCACCAACACCTCCAGCAGCTGTGGGACATGGATGTGAACGCAGCTCATCAATCGAAAAGCTGCTTGATCAGCTTCTCGGGCGGCAGGCTGTGGTGAGGACCTGCGTTTTCCTCTCCTGAGGACGAGGGGTGTGCCAAGTCCCCAGCGAGGTGCAGCATTTCACACTGGCCCGGGAGCTGCCTCAGGCAGGGATGAGGCAGGAGGGTGGGTGAGGGACGGGCAGCGGCAGGAGGCAGGCCTCCCCCGGGGCCTCAGCGTGGGCAGGATTCCCACAGGGGGCTCTCTGGGCAGGTGCCCAGGAGAGAGGCCCGGGCTCTGCCTCTCCTTCTGTCCTGGGCCCCACGGGCAGGGCCACCAGCTGGGGGTCCCGGGGCCTGAGGTGGCTGAAGCGACTTCTGGGTGTGCAGGTGCAGGGACTTGGCAGGCCATGTGCTGGGCGCCCGCAGGGGCCACCAGACCCACTGCTTAGGTCATCAGCATAGCATGGACGCCTGGCACTGGGAAGGGCCTTCTGGGGCCAAGGTCGCCTTCAAGGAGAAAGTGGAACAAAGCCTGGGGAGCGGGTCTGCCTTGTTGGGAGCAGGCAGGATGCAGGCTGCAGCCCCGACCCCGGCTCGCACGGGCTCCAGGATGCACTTCCCAGCCACACTCTGGCGTGGAAGCGAATGTGTGTTTTCACAGTCCACTGCGAGGGCTGGGGGGCGCGGGCTGCCAGAGCTCTGCGGCCCCAGGGAGGGCACCTCGGAGGAGCCCACACTCGGAGGAGGGCAGGCGGGCCTCTGGGTCCCGGCCTCAGGTGGGGTCAGCCGGTCAGGGGCCCGGGTGGGGCAGGGGCTTCGCTTACTTGGAGCTGACCAGACCGCGCTGGGCCTCCATGTGGCCGCCGCCGTGGCCTCCGCGTGGCCGCCGTGGCCTCCAGCCTGGCTGACGGCGCGATCAATGCACAGCTACAGCTGGTTGAAGGGGACCAAATCCATTGAACAGTTGATTTGGTTCCATTTTACCAGCTTTAGCAAAGCATTTGGCTCCAGGATCCATGGAAGCAGCGGCGTGGATGTGATGTCCGGACGCGGTGGGGTGCCCCGGCTCTGCCCCCACCTCCCCTGCAGGGCCCGCCATGGCTGAGGGACCCTCATGCCCTGCAGGGACTGAACATGAGAGGGAAGGGCCAGGGGTGGGGTGGGGGCCCCACAGCAGACACACGGGCTCACACACACGCACGCACACACGCACACTCGGGGAGGCCCTGGGTGCCCCTGCCTCTCATGGTTTCTCAGGCACTGTGGCACCTGCCACTGGTCTCAGTCCTGGGGCACAGCCGAGGCCACCAGAGCCCTGCCCTCAGGGGGCTAACAGCCCACGGACAGAGACCCCTGCCCCTGCCCGGATCACACTCTCAGCTGCAGCTGAGGCAGGACAGGCCTGGAGTTAACCATGAGCCTGGCCCAGGAGGGGTGGGTGGGCTGGGACGCTGCGAGGGCTCTGCAGGGCGGCTGGAATTCTCCAGGGCAGTCCCCCTCGTGCGGCTGTGGCAGGTGAAGAGGGACAGGGAGGCCCACACAGCTGACCCCAACCGTGCGGCCTGTCGGGGCTGCAGGGATCATCCCCTCGGCTCCCGGGAGCAGGCCTGCAGTCCACGTAAGGACAGCGCCGGAAAGCCAAGCCCGCATAGGCCTCATCACCCTCAGTGACTCTGACAGAGCAAGTTCCTTTTTAGAAAATTGGTTTTCCTGCCAGCACCCGATTCATCAGCATCAATGACGAGGGGGGACAGCAGCTTCGGCAGTGCCAGGGACACGGCGTCCTGGGTGTGTGGACTTCCCTCTGAGCACAGGCCGGCCTGACAGCGAGGGGTGACTGCCTCCTCCAGGCCCTGCTCTCTCTGCCCTGCCCTCCTGATGCTGCAGGGCAGATGCTCAGCTGGCCGGGCTGGACTGCAGGGGCGAACCCACCCCCCACGACCACTCCGGGTGCATCAGAGCCCAAAGACCCCAAGACCTCGGCCCCCACCACCCCTGCCACCACACCCTTCCTCCAAGACATGAACGAGTCAGTGCCACGGGGTCCTTCCTCTGCGAACAGCCCTGGCCTTTCACCTCCAGACCAGCCCCCAAAGTTCACCAGGAGCCCAGGGGGGCCCCGACCCTTCCAGCCTCTCATCCCATGACCCACGGATGGCCCTGGCCCCTGATGGCCCTGGAGGACGGGGAGCTGGCCAGATCCCAGCTCTGCAAACACACTTTCCTTTTGGCTCCAGAGCATGGGGAGGGGGCACCCCAAGGATTCCCAGAGCCCGCCCTTCCCCTGCCCTCCAGAGAAGACGGTGCAGATGGAGCGACTGGGCTGGCACTCAGCCCCACTGTGGACAACCTTGATGAAGCGGCCGCTGCCACGGGCGGACACCGTCACTCTGGGATCTGTCATTCCCAAGTCCAAGCACACGCCCAACCCAGTGGGCAGCCCAGCCCTCCCGACCGTGCCGCCTCTCCCCTTTGACCCCCTCACGGCTCTTGGAAGTCTGCCCCTGGTCTCCAAGTCTGGAGGAATTGCCCTAAAATAACAGACCTGGGCTTCCACATGGACATCCCTACTGCCCTGCGGGGGGCCGTCCCAGCACAGCCCCCAGCCGTCAGTCCACCCCCAGCTCGGCCCAGAATGCCCAGCGGGGGCTCGAGGTGGAGCTTTCCCTTCTTGTCTGTGAGCAGCTGGGAGCTTCGGCCCCAGCCCCAGGGCAGGGCCGTGGCCACAGAAGCCAGCAGCGTGGCCGGGCGGCCTTGGCCAGCTTGTCCTGGCGTGCGCGAATCGAAGCCCCACACGCCAGGTGCTGCCATCCCATCGTCCCGGTGCGGAGGGCACAGGGCTCGGGACGCCTCCCCGTGGCCGTCCTCCCGGGAGTGTGGAGGTCCGGCCGCCCACTCCCGCGCCCCCACGTGGCCTTGTCTGGGGAATGTTCAGGCAATTCTTTGTTGAGCGAGTGACTAGCACACATGACTACAGGTCTGAGGGGCTTTCGGGGTCTGTGTCTGCAGCACGGTCCCAGCGTGAGCAGTCCCTGTGTCTCTGACTCAGTTGCCTGGTGACTGTTTTAACTCAATTTGGCAGATTTTCTGCATTCCCCCACCCTGGGCATCCTGGGGTCTCAGCCTCCATTGGAGGCTCCCGGCTTCCCCACGAGCCCCAAAGCCTCCTGAGCAGCTAGCCCATGGCTCAGCCTAGGTGCCTCTCAAACCCGCCCGCCCAGGAGCCCCTAGCCTGGCTCAGCCCCTGCCACTCACCTCCACCCAGCGGTCTCCGGAACCCCAGCAACCCCTCTCACCGCCCCTGCCTTGGGGGCCTCTGACCCCGGCCAGAAGGGAGTGCCAAGGGGCTGGACCCAGAGGACAGCGGAGAAGCGGCCAAGGCCGGGGCCAAGCCTTCACCATGACTTGCAAACGCGTCACCAGGTCTGCATTTACGCGCCCGATGCCTCCCGCCAGAAGGTGAGCTTGCCCAGGGCAGGGACTGCGTCGCAGGCTGCAGGGCCTGGCAGAGAGACGGGCCCTGAGTCCCTGGTGAATTTACTGTTGGCCGGCCCGGCAGGCAGTGGCTTCCTCAGGACCCTCTCCCCGGGCCCCGGGCCTGTCTTTCCACGAGGGTGAGACAGAGCCAGGCCACAGCTAACACAGTTTGTGCATTTTATGAACCACGCAATTAAATAGGTTTTAAAACATCTGCTGATGGCATCGTCCCGTACAGGGAAGTACACTCAGCATTTTGAAGCTGCGACGGATGCTAGATGTGGGCAAACACTGCGGAAGACTCCAGCAGCCCTGTTACAATCGGTACAAAATTAGACGCGATGAGCGAATATGTCCAGTTAGTTCTAATTGGAGCAAACCACGACGTAGGCGAAGGCTCGGTGCGTTCGCCCACACTCGCGGCCAGCCTTGCCCAGAGAGGGCCCCAGTGGGGCAGTGCTGCCAGCGACACCAGGGCCAGAGGCCTGCCCCCAAATGCTCCCCGGGCCCGAGCAGCAGCCGGCACTTCTTCCAGGAAGCCTCCCTGCGTTTGATACAGGCCCTAGACTCAGAGAGAGGGCAGAGTGAGCCGCTGAAGCTCTCTAGGCGACCTGGGCCTTACCAGGCTGCCCCTGCACCCTAAGCCGTCCCTAGGTCTGAGCCACCATTTGGGGGCACTTAGGGGGCTTCCTCAGTCTCTCTGAGCCTCAGTTTCCCCACGTGGGAGTGCCAGCCACACACAGTCCATAGTTGTTGCCATCCTGTGCCCCTTCACCTCTGCCACGACTGTCCCAGCTCAGATGGGCCCAGCACCCCAGGACACGGCACTCACTGAGGGCAAAGCCCACCGGACTCCCCCAGAAGAAGGGTGATGGCCTGCACCCTGGGCGAGGTGGCACCAACCTCCAGCCTCTGTTCAAGGACAACCACCAGCAGAGACACACGTGCAGCTGCAGATGCTGCCCCCGGAGGCCAGGAGCAGGGCGGACAGGAAGCTGCTCCCCACCAGTCATCACGGAGACGGGGCGCCCAGGACCGCGGCAGCGGCATCCCACCCAGGGGGGCAGCTCGCAGCCAAGACAGAGCCCTGCACTCCCACCCGCCCCAGAGGGTATCAACGACTCCTATCTGGATGCCTCTTGTGTTTTTTACTATGAAGCTTTTAAAATTTAAGAATCAGTAACCTAATATTTCTCCGGCAGCAACATTACCTATTAGCACTCAGATTTGCCACTAAATTAATTTTTAATTCCAGATTTTGGTTAATTATTAAAATAACTAGCAAAGAACTACAGTTAGCCCCAGGAGCGTGAGCAGCCCCAGCCAGGACCGTGCCGAAGGAGCCTTCCCACGGCTTCCGTTCGGGCTGCTGGGTCCCCACAGAGGAGTCTCCAGAGAGACCCACAGCTAAGAGACACAAAAGGAAACCCCACCCCCAAACATTTCTCATTCTTACCGACTGACCCAGCCGGATGCCAACCAAGACCTGCTCAGCCCAGTTCCATAACTTTTCTGTCTACTCAAAAAAATATGTATTATTTCTCAACACTGATAAAAGTTTAATACGGAGTTGCCCGGGTTTTTAATAAACTTGTCAGCAAAAGAGCAGGGCAAATTGATGGGGCCCCTCCTAGAGATAAATTTCTCCTCAAATAGACCCGAAGAGCAGGGGGACAGGGCAAGGGGGGAGGCAGGGCAAGAGGGGGACGCACGATTATTTTGCTGTTCTTTGCAGAAATGGTGAGATGGATTTCTGTGTCTTATTATCTCACAGATAGGGCCGGGGTAAACGCTGGTATAATTTCAGGAAAGCAAGCTTCCTGGCTAAGAACCAGATCAGAGAGCTCTGAGGTCAGGGAAGGGTGCAGCTCGGGAGCGAATTCACGGCCAGTGCGCTCCGAGATAAGTGCGAGCCACTCGGCACCACGGCCCCTCCGTGGAGCCCTGTGGCACCCCCTCCACCTGCAGAGATGGATCCCTGCAACCGCCAGAGCACAGAGCGCAGGGAAGACAGGCACGGCCTGGGGCCGGTAAGTGAGCAAGAGGACGACACTCCCACAGACTGTGCCTATCTGTCCCTAAATTCTGCCAGCTTGGCGAGGTCTTCCAGCACGCGGAGACGTGGGACGCATAGCCACCTGCGTCCAGGCCGGGAGGGGCACCCCGTGCTTTGAGGGGTATTGGGCAGGTGTTTTTATTCCCTCGCTCAAGGTCATCTGCTCCACTGGCTGCAGAGCGGTTTGAAACTCCACCCTTAGAGACCCGCTTCTTGGGTTAAAGATGGAGGGAAGGCAAGATCCCCTGGGAAGCTGCTGGCCTACAAGCTCCGGGCCTTGGGGCATGCAGCTGTGTGTGTGCGGCGCAGGAGGTGACAGCCAGGGACAGACAAGGAGGTTAGGAGGGAGCCCCAGCGACCACGTCCATCCTGCAGGGCCGAGCCCACGGAAGCCAGGCCA